TCAGGGAAGAGTCACGCCTGAGTAGAGACCTAAAGGAGCTGAGGGATGAAGTTATGTGGTATTTGGAAGAAGAAAGTTTTAAAAAAGAGGAAACAGCAAGTGCACAGGCCCTGCAGTAGAACCCTAACTAGCATCTATTAAAAATCAGCAAGGAAGCTAGGGTGGCTGGAGCAAGGTGTAATGGGAAATGGAAAGAAATGGTTCAGAGAGGTAATGGCAATGGGGTAGACATCTAACTTTGTTGGCCACAGTGAAGACTCTAGGTTTAACTCTGTGTGAGTGATAAGCCATTTCAGGGTTTCGAGCAGACAGATATCATTTGATCCACATTTTCATATGGCTGTTCCAGCAGCTGTATTGCAAATGGGTTGGGTCAGGGCAAATGTTGGAACCATGCAGAAGGCTATTTCAATCACCCTATCAAGAGACAGATAGCAGCTTGGACCTGGGGGAAAGCAGTGGAGTGGGGAGAAGTGGTCAGATTGCACAAAAGGGAAAAAGTGTGGAGACAAAGATGTTCAAGAATGTTTTCTATAATCAAGAGAAACTAGAAAGAACCTCAATGTCCAGTAACAGAAGACAATATGACTAGTCAAAACAAAGCATATGCTATTATTGTTCTCCTTTTTAAAGGTTTTGGAGAGCAGGTATAGTCAAGGAAATTAAGAAAAAAAGATGTTAGGCAAAGGGGTGATTTTTATTAAGCTTTAAGATTGAGTTTCCTGTTCCAAAGTGTCTAAAATATGAAAAGGAATAAACTTTTGTCTAAGAAGTAAAAATGGGAAATGAATGTGTGATTTGGAATTTACATATTTGCCAGGAAAATATTTTGTGGAGGCTCAAAACTGGTAGATAAGAATTATCTCAATGTGGGGCTGGGGTTGTGGCTCAGTGGTAGTGTGCTTGCCTTGCATGCATGGGGGCATTGAATTTTATTTACCAGGTAAATAAATAAAATAAAGGTATTGTGTCCTACAACTAAAAATTTTTTTTAAAAAATTATCTCAATGATCATTTATTAATCATTCCCCATATGCCAGGCATTATTCTTGTGCTTTTATGTAGCTTCTAATTTTATAACATATAATCTAATTTCACAAACTTGCCCAAGGTGATTAACTAACATAAACCAAAGAGCTGAAACTCAAACCGGTGCTGTCTGATGCCAAAACCTACCCTGTGGTGTTAGGCTGGCTAGATTGATTTTTGAGGCTTTTCGTTGGGAAGAACAGTTCACCTGTTGGGAATGCATTGAATTGCATGTAACAAACCCAGACTATGAGTGCATTAAATAAGCAAGGAAGGTATTTTTCTCATGTAATAAGAAGGCTGAAGCAAGACCTGTCCAGAGCGGGTGCCACTTCTCCTCTCTTGCGTGTTGCCCTATGGCCTAAGATTACTACTCCACCTGCAGCCTGAGAGCAGGAAACAGGAAAGTCAAAGGACCAATATTTGCATCAGTAAAGCAAAAGCCTTGCCAGGACTTCCTCCTATGTCTCATTGGTCAGAATCATGTCATGTGACCTCTGTTTCTACATCTCATTGGTCAGAGTCCTGTGACCACCTCAGTGATGACCTCTGGGAAGGTGAGTACTTTAGTTTGGTACACAGTCTTCCTGAATGAAACCTAATTCACTTAGAAGTTAAGAGGGGAAGATTATCAAGGAGGCAGTTAGTAATGTTTATCCGATGAAGAAAGATTAATCTGACCAATTAGGGATGTGGCAAGAGGAGACGATGCCTCAAAGTGTTACTCAATGGTGGATTCCTAGGGGTTCTGGGGACCATTGTTGATAAATTTCATTGCAAGAGAGACAGAGAAATGAAGTCTTTGTTCCAAGAAGCCTTGAGCTCAGCTTCACTTCTGCTTGTTTATTTATTGAGTTGTAGATGGACACAATACCTTCATTTTATTCATTTTTTTTTTATGTGGTGCTGAGGATCAAACCCAGTACCTCACACATACTCCACCACTGAGCTACAATCGCAGCCTTTCACTTTTGTTTTTACAGGAAAGAATGAATAGTGGTGTGAGGATGGCCTTAGGACTGAGCCTAAGCAACTCCATTTTAAATACTCCAGTTTGAAACCTGCAGTCTCACCAGGCACCCACAGAGCCCTCCAGTGTGGCCTCAAACAAGTTACTTCCCCTCACCCTGATAAACAGAGTGAAGCCCCTGGCAGGCTGTCCTCGCCTGATAAGAGGGAAAGGCGAAGAAAGATCAAGGTGGAGACCACTAGACCAGATGTTTCTGACCCCAGAGTAAATGTTGTCATGGAGAAATCCAGTGGTAGCTGATAAGAATTGAAAGGGGGGTCAAAAGCCCCAAAATTTAGTATAAATAATAGAGCTAATGAACAGGGATTCAGCCAGCCAAAACAAGGATACACTTGAGCTGGAGAGCCTGATGAGGACCTGACATCCCATCACTTGTCATCGTTTCCTGAGCCTCTGCGTGATCCTCACTGCTCTCAAACTCTATCGCCTCATCTGGACCTTGGTAAGAGCCGCAACTTCTCCCTATGATCCTTCCTTAACCGTCATCCACTCCATACCAGGAAAAGCCTGCCTTGGTTCCTGACCTGGTCACTGCAGTCTAAGTGAGTGTGCAACTGCTGGACATAAAGCCTAAGGATTAAGACTTTTGAACTTAGCATGCAGAGGGAATGTCTGTCATTAGCCTGTCATGATTAAGCGTGTTTTGCAGTGCTTAGAATTAATCTAGAATTGTTTGCTGTGAATTGATTGTCTACTGCAGTGCCTAGCATGAAGGATTGTCATTTTCTTGATTAAGAACCTATAGAGTGAAACTGTATTGAGTAATTTGAGTGAATAAAGCATTGAAAGGGGCAGGAGCACGTGTACATTCTTTATTTCTCCCCTCAATTGCATATGTTGCAATTTGCCCCCTCAAGACAAGTGGGAAGCAATAAATGGTCTTTGCCACAATCCCTCAACCCAGCCCCTTCCATGGGGTTCCCCTCAGGAGGTACCTGGTATGCATAGATGTCCCCAAGTGCACACCCTCCCTAGACTGGAGAAGTCTGAGGGCAGTTGTTGACACAGGCTTTGGGAATGGAGGGAAAGCAGAGGGCACTTGGAAATAATTGAGGATGCTGGGAGCATTTGAAGACAAATACAGCCTCCTGAATCCTCCTGGAGAAAGACACTGTAAATTCAGTCTAGCTCCTCAGAGTCACCCTAACCAGGTCCTGTCACTAGTAAGGCACCTCTCCTCCTGGACTTCATTTTCCCCTCCTGTAAAGGCAAATAATAATCCTATCTTGAAGTTTGGAGTGATGTACATCCAGCTCCTGTTTTATAGTATACATTCCACAGATGGTGGCTGTTATGTGTGTTAGGAGTATGATCTGACCCCCACACCCACCACTAATTCAGCTCCTATTCTCTCCCTGTCACTAGTACTGACAGCCCTTGCTATTCCTTTATGAGAACACACACTCTGTGGCTCTCTGCCTCTTTATCCCCCCCCCCCCCCCCGTGGATTCTGGGCAGAAATACCTCAAATTCTGGTGAATCCTGTAGTACTTCTTGATTCACAGGATCTCACCCCTTCTCTAGGATATCCTTTCTGACCTCTTCAGATGAGTGAAGCCCCTCCTTAATGCCCCTAGCAGTCCATACTTCTTTCTGTCAGGGTTCTTACTGCTCCCTGGGGCCATTACTGAGTTCCTGACAAGGCCAGTCCAGGCTCTTTCCAGGGTTGAGATATCCAGGCTCCTCATTTAAGGCTCTGTTTGAAGATGAGCAGCAGCAGGAGGAAACTGTGCCATATTTTATATATTTCAACTGTCATATTTTATATGTGCCATATTTTATATTTTCAAATGACAAGTCATAGATGCTGTCTACAGCAAATCAGCACTGTAGACACACAAAAAGCAATGTAATATGTGTGTTATTTGCAGCTATTTAATTTAAAAATAAGAATTCATAGTATATCTGAAAGGAAAGTGACCACAAAACTCTGAGCGACCACTGCTTTATTGCAGCAGTGCAAAAGAAGAGAAAAAGAGAGCGAGAAAGAAAGAGAGAGAGAGCAAGAGAAGAAAGAGAGAGCAAAGGAGAGCGAAAGCAAGAGAGGGAAACAGAGAGCAAGAGAGGGGGGCCCGGCAGGAGGGAGTTTCTATAGCCAAAAATCTAATGGGGTCTCTGGGTCTGCAAGCTGTCTTGTTGATGTTCAATGATTGGATCACACAGTAGTTGCTAAGGCTGTAATCTTCTGCCTTCAGGCAGATGGGGCAGGGGTCAGATGTGGGTTTCTGTTGCACCAGACCGGTGGGGGTCCAGTGTTCAGCCTTGAGTGGGGTTGAGTGTTCAGACTTGACGCAAACAGGTGATAAAGAACCAGACACAGGGGGGTTTGAGTGCGTGGGTTATCCTGCAGCTAACGTTTGTTCACCTTGTCCTGCACCTAACAATATCACTGAGAGTTGTTTTAGTGGCATGAAAGTCTTGGGTTCTGTCACCTGTGTGTAAGCTCCATCTGGAGACAACTGCCAAAAGTGTAAATTTGTGACTGTTAGCTAACTGAGAGTTTGTGATGGAGAGCTGCCCTGCCCGTGCTGCCTGCGGGAAACCTGGGGCACTCTTTAAGCTGGGGCTTCAAGGCCTAGCGCCAGGAAGTTTTTTTTTTGTTGTTGTTGTTGTTGTTTTTAATATTTTTTTAGTTGTAGATGGACACAATACCTTTTATTTTATTTATTTTTATGTGGTGCTAAGGATCAAACCCAGTGCCTCATGCCTGCTAGGCAAGCGCTGTACCCCTGAGCCAAAACCCCATCCCCAAGGAAAGGACTTCTTAATAAGCTCCCAGCAGCTCCCGCATCCTGCACACTGAGGGATGTCTCTCCGCCAGCCTCAGCCTCCGGCACCTCTCGCCACCCCACCAGCAGGGGGCGTCCCCCCACTCCGCAAACCCGGCTTGTCTCTCTCCAGAGCCTAGACGGGGCGCCGACGCCCGCCCTTCCGGGTCTGGAGCCAGCTGGGCGCGGTGGGATCTGGGGGCCGTGCTCCCTGCCCTCCCCTCCCCGGAGTGCTCAGGGTGGGGCGGAGTGGGCGGGCGGGCACGCGGGCCCCGCCCCTACCTCGGGCAGTCACCTGGGGCCAGGCCCGGCAGGTGCCTGGGCTGCGACCTCGCCGCTTGTGGGCTGGGAGTCTGTAAGCCCGACGCCGACCTCGAGCTGCGAGCCGTGGGTGAGTGCGGGGGCGGGGAGGCGTCCGGAGGTCCCGGCGGGTCCCCTGCCCCTGTGCTGCGCTGCTTCCCCGGCGTGGGAGGGGAGGGATTTCCCTTACAGGATTTGGAGGGCTTGGCTTTCTCTGCTACTTGAGGGACCCGGGAGTATGCCACCGAAGCGTGAGCCTTACAGGCTCGGGGTGGGACGCGATGGGTCTGTGGTGAGTTTGAGGGAGCCCGGGGAAGTGGCTTCTGAACGTTAGAAAACAGGTGAGGGCAGAGAAACGCGGGGGTGTGACTCCTGCCTCCTCCCGGGCACTCTCAGGTGATTGCGGGCCCGTACACAAGCGCGGGCGTTCCCTCGGGCCGACTTTGCGTGTCGGCTGCTGAGCGGGGCGTTGCGGCCGGCGTCCGCGCGCACGCCGGGCGCGGGGATTAAGCCTCCGCGCTTTGCAGTGCTGGCGGGTCTCCGAGGACAGAGCGCCTTGGCTGGTTCCTTGATGACCAGCCTTACTAGCCCAATGCCTTCTAGATAACCTGGGCCGGTCTTCGGGAATCCGGCGGCTGAAGCAACTTTTTCTCACCTGCGCAGGTGGTCTCGGGAGGTGGCAGCAAGCAGGGTCCCGCATTCGGGAGGCGACTGCGCCCATCGGGCCTCAGAGGAAGGAAACACGCTTTCTTCGTCCCCCACTGTGCAAACGCTCCGGTAAGGCGGTTGGGTGTTGCTTAACTCCCAGACATAACTCGCACCATTGCAAAGGACATGTAAATGGTGGCTGTCGATATTGTTAAGTTTCTTCAGGGGAAATGGGTCCTTGTGTGCTTTGTTTATAAATTTAGAGACAAATTTACATATGTATGATCAGCGTTTCTATGTGGTATCCCGGGAATAGAGTTATTAGAGTTATTGGGAATCACCTGGCTCCTGTGGGGTACCTGTGATTTGAAAACGATTTGAGAGACATAACACAGCGTTAAATCTTCTGAGCCTTTATTGTATCCTTATTAAATTGTTATGGTGAGATTATAATAAATCACCGAGTCTATCTTAAAGCAGAAGAGGGAGCCTTTACTCACTAGGCTGTGGGCCAAGAGGCAGGCTGCAAATCTACACCCTTCTACTCCCTCCTGGAGTTTGAGTACACCTATATAGTCCAAAACCACATTAATAATAAGTGGCTGCTGCTATCATTCAAAACCATAAACAAACGTCATGAGATCATAAGCAGAAGGGAAGTGGGTCAAAAAGACCCTAGTTAAGTCCAAGTTAAAGAATGGTTACTAACACCTGGACAGTCAATCTCTGACAGGGTACATAGTCCAACAAAAATGGGAAGCAAAAAGGGAACAATTTTATATTGTATAAGAATTGCCATTTTGTGTTGGCAAACATGTTATGTAAGCAACTATTGATAGGTACAGAGGCGGGGTGTTCCCATGGGAGAAGCATTCCTTACATGACATGGAGTCTCAGAGTAAAATGGAGTCTGTCTGGTCATTGCCCATGTAGCCTGGTCCATAACTAGATGAAAGAACCTTTTAAAACATTGAGATGTGGAAGAAATTTGTACTTGTTATTTGATGGGTTTTAGTTTTATTATTGGCATCATAATTATGGCTTTAAAAAATCTTTAACTTTTAGTTACTGAGTGAAGTTGAAATGTGGCTTGGGGATATGCCTTAAAATAATCCAATTTGGGGGAGCTTTAGCAGAGAAATGGGGGGAACGAGAGGAGTTGGTTATGAGTTGTTAATTGTTGAAGCTGGGTGATGGGTATGAAAATATGTTGAGCATTTTCCTTTAAAAGTTACAACAATATTACCTGCGGAGGTTTTATTTTTTTTATTTTTAATTTTTTTTGGTTGCTTGCTTTTTATTTTATTTATTTTTTGGCAGAAGATAGGTTTAGGTTTAGTACTAGAGGTCCTTTTAGATTCAAAGCCTTCCACACTTCCTTATTCTTTGTAAATTGGTTGTCATCACAAGCCTTCCTTTTCTCTCTCTTGGGGGTATGGATTTATTTTGCTCTAAAGGCACAGGGTGTTTGCTGAGAATGTCAAAGCTGAGTGGATGAGTTGATGCAGGTGGATGCTGGGTCAGCTTTTTCTGCACAAAGGGTATCAGCATGCCTGGGGGTTGAGTTGCCTCCAGTCAGGCGGGTTGTATAAAATGTGTTAGCAGTTTTTGCCAGTTGCCCAAATCCCTTTCAAATTACACTCATCAAAAAGCAGAGGCCAGGGTATGAGGATGTAGCTTTGTGGTAGAGCACAGTCCTAGCATGCACAAGGCCCTGGGTTCCATCCCTAGCACCAAAAACGAACAAAAAGTCCAGGCTAAAGTAGTGAACACACATGCATATACTTTTGGAACCATCATATAGGTTAAAAGATTTTTATTAAAAAAAAAAAGATGAGCAGAGATCTACTTATAACTTGAAAGAGATTTTTGTATTTTCTGTGCTGATTTTTTTCATATCTTTATGAGTTTGTATTAGGAATCATGACATGTAAGTATTTAGCAAAGAACTGACTACTTAAAATTCTGCATGGTGTTCCATCATTCTTTTAGAGAACACTGCTTTGAGAGAGAATAGTGTCTGACTTATTTTTTCTCAGGATTTGTCTTATAATTTCTGCTCATTCTGTTATGTTGATCAGTAATTTGTAAACGTTTGGTTCTAAGAGGGAGCTATTGAAATGCAGTGGAGGGAAAAAGGGGAGGCATATTTCTGAAAGATAAACCCACAGTTTTTAGTAGCTTCAGTGCAACTGAACTTAATGCCTCTTTGATTTAAAAAGAAAACAAGTCAAGTAAATGGCATACGTGACAATTAAAAGTCAGAGTGTTAGATGAATCTCCTCAAGTCTAGATCTGGCACATATAGATTGAGTAGTCTAAAAGAAGATGTAGAGATGTTTTAAGCTAGGCATGGTGTCACGTGCCAGTAATCCTAGCAGTTCTGGGGGCTGAGACAGGTTCAAGGCCAGCCTCAGCAACTTAGTCAGGGCCTAAGCAACTTAGTGAGACTCTAACATATTTAGAATGATGGTGGCCTGAGGCTTAGCATCGACAGTCTTTACAATGTTGAGATATGTTCCTGTTATCCCTAGTTTTTCTAGTGTTTTGAACATAAAGGGGTGCTGTATTTTGTCAAATGCTTTTTCTGCGTCTATCGAGATGATCATGTGATTCATATCTTTAAGTCTATTGATGTGATGAATTACATTTATTGATTTCCGTATGTTGAACCAACCTTGCATCCCTGGGATGAATCCCACTTGATCATGGTGCACAATCTTTTTGATATGCTTTTGTATTCGATTTGCCAGAATTTTATTGAGGATTTTTGCATTTATGTTCATTAGAGATATTGGTCTGAAGTTTTCTTTCTTTGAAGTGTCTTTGTCTGGTTTTGGAATCAGGGTGATATTGTCCTCACAGAATGAGTTTGGAAGTACTCCCTCTTTTTCTATTTTCTGAAATAAATTGAAGAGTATTGGTATTAGTTATTCTTTAAAGGTCTTGTAGAACTTGGCAGTGAATCCGTCTGGTCCTGGGCTTTTCTTGGTTGGTAGTCTTTTGATGGTTTCTTCTATTTCCTCACTTGATATTGGTCTGTTTAAGTTGTGTATATCTTCCTGACTCAATCTGGGAAGATCATATGACTTAAGGAATTTATCAATGCCTTCACTGTCTTCTATTTTATTAGAGTATAAGGTTTCAAAATAATTTGTAATTATCTTCTGTATTTCTGTAGTATCTGTTGTGATATTGCCATTTTCATCACATATGCTGGTAATTTGAGTTCTCTCTCTCCTTCTCTTCGTTAGCATGGCTAAGGGTCTGTCAATTTTATTTATTTTTTCAAAGAATCAACTTTTAGTTTTGTCGATTTTTTTCAGTTGTTTCTTTTGTTTCAATTTCATTGATTTCAGCTCTGATTTTAATTATTTCTTGCCTTCTACTGCTTTTGCTGCTGATTTGTTCTTCTTTTTCTAGGGCTTTGAGATGTAGTGTGAGGTCATTTATTTGTTGACTTTTTCTTCTTTTAAGGAATGAACTCCATGCAATGAATTTTCCTCTTAGTACTGCTTTCATAGTGTCCCAGAGATTTTATTATGTTGTATCTGTGTTCTCATTTACCTCTAAGAATTTTTTAATCTCCTCCTTGATGTCTTCTGTAACCCATTGTTCATTCAGTAGCATATTGTTCAGTCTCCATGTGATGCAGAATTTTTTATTCTTTATTTTGTCATTGATTCCCAATTTCATTCCATTATGATCTGATAAAATGCATGGTAGTATCTCTACTCCTTAGTATTTGCTAAGAGTTGCCCTGTGGCATAGTATATGGTCTATTTTTGAGAAGGATCCATGTGCTGCTAAGAAGAAAGCATAACCACTTGATGCTGGTTAATATATTCTATCCATGTCAGTTAAGTCTAAGTTATTGATTGTGTTATTGAGCTCTATAGTTTCTTTATTCAACATTTGTTTGGAAGATTTGTCCGTGATGGGAGAGGTGTGTTAAAGTCAGCCAAGATTATTGTGTTTTGGTCAGTTTGACTCTTGAACTTGAGAAGAGTTTGTTTGATGAACATAGCTGCACTATTGTTTGGGGCATATATATTTATGATTGTTATGTCTTGTTGGTGTATGGTTCCCTTGAGCAGTATGTAATGTCCATCTTTATCCCTTTTGATTAACTTTGCCTTGAAGTCTATTTGATATGAGTATGGAGACTCCTACTTGCTTCCGCACTCCATGTGAGTGGTATGATTTTTTCCCAACCTTTCACCTTCAATCTGTGTATGTCTTTTCCTATGAAATGAGTCTTTTGTAGGCAGCATATTGTTGGATCTTTTTTTTTTTAATCCAATCTGCTAGCCTATGTCTTGATTGGTGAGTTAAAGCCATTAACATTTAGGGTTACTATTGAGACATGGTTTGTATTTTCAGCCATATTTGTTTATTTTTGTTATTTAACTTGACTTGGTTTTCCTCTTTGATTAGTATTTCTTTTATTGTACTACCTCCCTCTGCTGGTTTTCATTGTTGTTTTTCATTTCCTCTTCATGAAATATTTTGCCAAGGATGTTTTGTAGTGCCAGTTTTCTAGCTGTAAATTCTTTTAACTTTTGTTTATAGTGGAAGGTTTTTATTTCATCTTCAAATCTGAAGCTTAGTTTTGCTGGATACAAGATTCTTGGTTGGAACCCATTATCTTTCAGTTTGAAATATGTTGTTCTAGCTTTCAGGGTCTGTGTTGAAAAATCTGCCATTTTTCTAATTGTTTTACCCCTGATTTTAATCTGATTCCTTTCTCTTGTGGCTTTTAAAATTCTCTCCTTATTCTGTATGTTGGGCATTTTCATTATAATGTGTCTTGGTGTGGATCTGTTGTGATTTTGCACATTTGGCGTCCTGTAGGCTTCTTGGATTTGGATGTCCATTTCATTCTTCATGTCTGGAAAGTTTTCTGATATTATTCCATTGAACAGATTGCTCATTCCTTTGGTTTGGACCTCTGTGCCTTCCTCTATCCCAATAACTCTTAAATTTGGTCTTTTTATCCTATCCCATATTTCTTGTATGTTCTGCTCCTGTTTTCTTATCATTTTCGCTGTGCTATCTACGTTCTTCTCAAGATGATATACTTTGTCTTCGTTGTCTGATGTCCTATCTTTTAAGTTGTCTACTCTGCT